CCGCCCTCCGCCATTTGCCCCCCTCGCCCCGCCGGCCCCGGCTCGGCCTCCTTTCCACCGCCAGCCGCCACCCTCCCGGGGCCGCCTCCCTCCTTCCCTACCCGGGCCGGCCTCCAATCGGTGCCTGCCGGCCCCCAATCGGTGCCTGCCGGCCCGGCGGCTTCCTGCCTCCGCGTTAAGGTGGTTTTTTTTTGCCCCCCCCCCGCCTCGGTCTCTCCCCGGCGGGAGGAGGGCGGTCCGGCAGCGCGGGAGGGACGCTGTGGAGCCATTCCTCCCTCAGGCCCGCCCTCACAGCGGGGGAGGCTGAGGAGGAAGGGAGGGAAACACGAGCGGAGATGGCCAGCACTGGAAAATCCATAGGTGTTTAAGAGAAATCCTGGGGAGAAATACACCTATGGTGGAAAATCTGTGTCACTCTAAGTGAGTGCATCAGCGCCCCGGCCGGTAGAGCTCGGATGGGCGGTAAAAAGGGGGTTTTGGGGCTCCTTCCAGCAACGGGAATGTGTGCGGAGGGTGGAAATTTACAGTGTTGTCCCTGCTCCCCCGCAGCGGCCTGAGGGCCACCTCGGCGGGAGGGTGATGAGCGTCGTGGTGGACAGCCCGGCTTGTTCTTTGGCTAGACATGGTTACATGGAATTGTCAGAGTTGGAAGGGACCTCTGACAAGATCATCAGTCAGAGATCATGTCTGATCTCTGATCATCCAGTCCAACTCCCCTGCCAAAGCAGGGTTGCCCAGAGCACATCACTCAGGAGCATCCAGGAGGGCTTGATCTCCAGAGAAGGGGACTCCACACCCTCCCTGGGCAGCCTCTGCCAGGGCTCTGCCACCCTCACCCCAAAGAAGTTCTTCCTCCTATTGGAGTGGAACTTCCCATTTTCCAGCTTGTGCCCATTGCCCCTCGTCCTGTCACTGGGAACCACTGAAGAGTCCATCTCCATCCTCCCTCAACCCACTTGTCAGCATTAATAAGGTCTCCCCTCAGCCTTCTCTTCTCCAGGCTCAAGAGCCCCGGCTCTCTCAGCCTTTCCTCATCAGGGAGATGCTCCAATCCCTCCATCATCTTTGTTGCCCTACGCTGGACTCTCTCCAGCAGTTCCCTGTCCCTCTTGAACTGGGGAGCCCAGAACTGGAGGCAGGATTCCAGTTGTGGCCTCCCCAGTGCAGAGCAGAGGGGGAGAATGACCTCCCTTGACCTCCTGGCCACACTCTTCCCTACGCAGCCCAGGATCCCATTGGCCTCTTGGCCACAAAAGGCACATTGCTGGCTCATGGAGAGTTTACTGGCCACCAGGACCCCCAGATCCTTCTCCTCAGAGGTGCTTTCCATAGGTAAAAGCTGTGGAGAAGGTTTCATGGGGTCATATTGTCCCCTTTTTTCCCCCCTACCCCAGCACATGTCTGAAGCCCACATCCCGTTGCTACGGGTCTGAGGGAGAAGAGGACCCGTGTGAGGGTGGACAGAGCTGCGGTGGGCTGGGAGCCAGCAGAAGGGCAAGGTGGTCATGAAAATGCCACCAAGACACAGCCAGGCCAGCAAAGGGCTGAGGAAAAAGCCACTGCTTTGCTTAAACCCCATCAGGCAACCTCAAATACGGCGCACAAAGCTAACACCCTCAAAAGATCAGGGCCCTTTGAGATCATCAAGTCCAACCATACGCACACAAAAAAACCCAAAAACCCAACAATCTTGGGCACTAGAGCATGCCCTGAGGTGCCACATCTACATGTTTCTTAAATACCTCCAGGGATGGTGACTCCACCACCTCCCTGGGCAGGCTGTTCCAGGGCCTGACCACCCTCTCAGGAAAGTCATTCTTCCTGATATCTAATCTAAACCTCCCCTGCCCCAACTTCAGACCAGTTCCTCTGCTCCTGTCCTTATTCCCTTGGGAGAAGAGGCCAACCCCCACCT